AACTTAAGGCTCTATTAGAAAAATAACAAAAAAACAAAGGGCTGGCTGTGTGGCTCAAGTGGCAGAATGCCTGCTTGGGATATGCAAAGATCTGAGTTCCTATCTTATAACTGTTCCTTCTAAAAATAGCACATCTCGGGCTGGGAAGGTGGCTCAGTGGTAGAGTGCTTGCCTTGCATGCCTGAGGCCCTGGGTTCGATTCCTCAGCACCACATAAGCAAAAAGAAAAAAGCCAGAAGTGGCGCTGTGGCTCAAGTGGTAGGGTGCTAGCCTTGAGCTGAATAGCTGAAGGACAGCTCCAGGCCCAGAGTTCAGGCCTCATGGCCAGACCTCCCCAAAAATTAAATAAATAAAAATAAAAATAGCACGTCTCTTTTAGCCTCAGTTTCCCCTTCTATAAGTGATCTAAAGTTTCCTATACCACAAGACTCTTGGAAAGGTGAAGTAGATTTACATTTGGAAAACTAAAATGAAAAGTAAATAGAAAAAGAATGAGTGTGGAGGCCAGGCAGGATGTCACATGCCTGCCATCCCAGCTACTAGGGAGGGGGGAGCGAGAGGACCTCAAGTTTTAGGTCATGAAGTTCAGGCAGAGTTAGTGAGAGCCTCTCTCAAAAACAAAATAAGAACAAACGGAGTTGAGAGTGGTGGCTCCCGCCGGCGATCCTAGCTACTTGAGACGTGGAGACTGAGAGACCGCAGTTGGACAGGCCAGCCTAGGGAGAAAAATAGTGAAAAATGTTTGTGAGACTCCATCTCAAACAAAGGATGTGTGAGTGTACAGCTTTCATTCCCAGTGATGCTAGGAAGCACCAACAGGAGGAACCCAGTCCGGGCCAGCTGCGGCATAACACTAAACCATATTTTAGAAATAACTAATGAATTAAGGGTTGGTGGAGTAACTTGAGTGGTAAAACACCTGCTTAATAAGCACAGGGCCCTAGTTCAAGCCCCATTACTCCAGACATGCGGAAGGTGTCACTGTTTCTATATATCCTGCCCTTGGACTTGGTAGATGGGAGCAGCCATAGGAGACCACAAGCCTGAGAGTGTCTAATAATATGCATTCTCCTGTGCCCTACATAGCTGGGCAGTGTCTGGTGGTAATGGATAGCTGTGGACTCATTCTGTCCTCTTAGCTGCAGAGCTGAGTCCTCCTGTGTTACTGGTGGGGAGTCAGGGCCCACAGAGAGATCCTGCCAGTGCTCATAGAGGATGCTGCAGCAGGAAACCTCGGGGTGAGAATATCTTCACGATTGATTGCTATGGTGGAGGTTATTAGTGTAACCCCAAAGAGCTCTTCATTTGAAGACAGGATCTGGAGGAAATGAGACCCTCCATATTAAAGAGCTCCACAGAACAGGAATGGGGAAGGCAGAAAGGCCTAAAGCCAGGGTACGAATGTCCTCAGCTGCCAAATGAGAAAGGAAGATAAAACACCACTGAAAAGCCAGTTTTTCTGGAAATAGATTCAGGTTTGTGGGCATTCCATTTATAGGCACCTGTTCCAGAAGTAGGTCTGTGGTTTGAACACAGAGACCCCACAGTAATCTTTGTTGGCATTTATGGATTTTTTGAGCATTAGTTTGCAACTTGTGCTTTTCTTCCTTTTTCTTTTTCACCAGTAACCGAGGCTTGAACTCAGGCTCTGGGTGCTGTCCCTGAGTTTTTTTGCTCAAGGGATATGTGCTACCAATTGAGCCATACCTCCGCTTTTGGCTTTTGGGTGGTTATTTGAAGATAAAAGTCTCAAGAACTTTTCTGTCCAGGCTGGCTTTCAACCTTGGCCCTCAGATCGGAACCTTCTGAGTAGCTAGGATTACAGGCGTAAGCCACTAGTATCTGACACTGCCTTTCAACTGGAACATTACTTTGCACCTTTTACATTTCTTGAACAAGCAAAATGCCCGTTTCCTGTCACCCTCACCCTAAAATAAGAGATCAGGCCTGACCTAGAGCTGTGTTCTAATTTTACCTAGAATAAGAATTTGAATAATAAAGTACTAGCATAATCAGGAATAAATGTAACGTTTTCTTTGACAATGTAATATGCACTTGTGGAGAGCCAGAATGCCCCAGACTATGCTGTGGCAGACAACACAGGCCTGATCCCTGTCTAGGATGAGTTGGATGAAACAAGCCAACAGACAAACGTACGTATCCCAGAGGCTCTTAGGGAAATTGAGGGGCTAAGATACGAAGGTCAGGAGTGTAGACATGACCAGGACTCTGGAAGAGACAACTAAGCCAAGACACAGAGAGACAGAGGAGTGGGCATGGGAAGTATTCCAGGCAGAGGAAACTGCATGTGCAGTATCCTTAAGGTGGAGAAGAACTTGGAGCTGTCCACTTCATGAAAACTTATAGTGATATCTGTCTTTCTGTCTACCTTTCTGTTCCCCTTCCCTCTCCCCTTACTTTGCTATGGTTTTTACTGAAAGGCTTTCTTACTGCAGTGTTACCAATCTTGTTAAAGAAGTGCTGTCCTTAAAGTACATGTGTTGCTGGGGGCAGGGGTATAGGGCAGTATAGGGAGGTTAGACTTGGGATGTCTGTTGGACTTGGGGGACAATGGGACGTGAACCTATTAAAGCCTGTCCTAGAATTTTTTTGGTGCTCTGAGTCCCATTTCTACATCCTTCAAAACAAAGTGAACTGGAGAGTATCTCGGGTATGTGAGTTGGGTGGCATTAGCCCTGTGGTGTGGGAATCCAGGCAAACATCAACCAAGAAGCCATCTTACAACCAAGAAGCCATTTTACCTTTTGGCCTCCAGGTTTCCAGCCTCGGTGTGGGCCTCCTGAGGCTGGAATTATTCCCTGAAGGAGATGATATTTCATAAGGCTTTTCCACAGGTGAGCAGCTCAGAGCCTTTTCTACTCTACGAAACACTTTACCACTGAGCCACATCTCCAGCCCTTAATGAATATTCTTGAGTGCTGCCTGTGTGCAGTTGTATGTATGTGATGCTGTAGGGGAGGAGGAGGGCTCTGTGGAGAGCAGAGGAGAGCCTCCCATCAGATGCACTGGTCTGAACATGGGTGTCTTTAATCTTGGATTGTCTCCATGTATAGTGGTCTTGTCACCTCTGCCACCTCTGAGCTCCTGGTGGGAGGGAGCTTCCTGTCTCCTTCCCTTCTGACCTTTTGATACTCTTGGAGGATGGGTATATGAATCCTGAGTAATGTAACTGACTTTCAGAGCCTGTAACAGTTCCTCAAGGGACTCAGACCTTAAAAGATACATTTGGCTCTTTGACCAAGTGTGGCCCTCCTCCTGGAATTCCTTTTCTCCTGCTTTCAACTGTCTTCTGTTATTAGTATCATACAGCTGCTGCTGCTGCTACTTCCTCCCCCTCCTCCCCCTCCTCCTCTCCCTCCCCTCCCCCTCCCCCTC